ACCAATTGGTTGTTTTATCATGCCACCGAAAGTGGACGTGGCCATGTAGTTCCAAGCGTCTGTAAAATGGACGTAGAGGCGCTGCTGTACGGGACCGAAAGCTATCGTACAAAAAACGCCGAGATGGCCGCTCTCAGGCTTCTTCTTCTTCTTCTTTCTTATCGTGGCCACATCCGATCTAATTGGATCGGTATAATCCGACCAAAAACAGGTTGGGAGTAACAAATGAGAGTAACAAATGGAAAGATTCCTCTAAAGGAGAGGAAGAAACTCAAAAATAAAGTCCAAAGGACACACGCGTAACGTGTCTAAACACGTCCGTTCCCGTCCGTGGGCGGCAACGGACTCTCTCAGGCTTCTCTATAAACATAGTATATCTAGACCGAGCGTTTGCCTTTATTTAAGGAGTGGGGGTAAAGATGCACGTCGAAAAGGACATACTCTGTTTCGTGCCCCTTGCGTTCTCTCTCGCTCGCACGTAGCATGACGAAAGAGAGCGCTATGCAATGTGCGAGCGAGAGAGAACGCAAGGGGCACGAAACAGAGTATGTCCTTTTCTACGTGTATCTTTACCCCCACTTCTTAAATAAAGGCAAACGCTCGGTCTAGATATACTATGTCTATGGAGTACGCTATGTTACGTGCGAGCGAGAGAGAACGCAAGGGGCACGAAACAGAGTATGTCCTTTTCTACGTGCACCTCGGCTTCCACTCCTCAACACTCGGTCTAGATATGCTATGTCTATAGGCTTCTCTCTGGTCAAAGTAAGGTCAGGGTGGTCAAACCACAGACCTCTATATAATACTAGACCGCTAACTTCCTTATAGCGTTTTCGAATGAACGGGTTAAGGTACAATTTCATGGTGTCGCTTGTCGCAGCGATGAATGGTCACGTGACCGAATGCTTAGGCCATTTACATGAGTGACAGTCGAAGTCAGCGACATATGAAATCACGTGACTCATTTGTCGCTGAATATTAGGGTGCGAACTCATGCAGCGGAATAGCGTAACGTGGAACGAGAGCATGACCAATCGCGAGCGTTCTGCAGTTTTCGCTACGCTCACGATTGGTCCGCTCTTGTTCCGCGTTACGCTTTTCCGCTGCCATGGGTTTGCACCCTTAGAGACCCTCTAATCAGATGTACGTATAAAAGTAGTAAATAACAGAACGCAATCTTAATTTATATTTAAATTTTAGAATTTGTTCCTTTTAACGTATGAAAAATATCCCTAACATATCCTATAGAAATCCTTAAGATGTTCCACAGGATCTCCCTGGATTCTCCAGAGGCTAGTGTACGGCTATCATTTACTCTTCCTCAGGACATCCAGAGGAGATCCGAGGATTAAAATAGGATATCCTCAGGATATCCTACATGTATGTCCTGGATGCCCTTTGGACGTCTTAAGGACATCCTTGTGCTGTCTGGGTAGTGTACGGCTATCATTTACTCTTCCTCAGGACATCCAGAGGAGATCCGAGGATTAAAATGGGATATCCTCAGGATATCCTACATGTATGTCCTGGATGCCCTTTGGACGTCCTAAGGACATCCTTGTGCTGTTTGGGTAACTTTTTCCCTAGGGCGGAAACGTGAAAAGTGAAAAATATTAGCATTGAAATCAATGGCAAAATTTTTCACTTTTCACTTTTCCGTTCTAGGGGAAAAGTTACATGATCGATACCCAGACTACGGCCGGTATTCATAGTCAGTTCTTATTTCAAGACCGTCTTAAGTAATGTCTTAAGATGCTAATACGGCTCTGTGATTGGTTTAGGACATCTTAAGATTGTGCTTAAGACGGTCTTAAATATAAGAACTGACTATGAATACCGACCTACATATCAAAGATTGAAATTTGACAATCAGGATAAAAAAAACTAAAATTTCCTTGTCCTGATTGGTCAAATTTCAATCTCAATGCATAGCCTGATACGGGCTTTAAGGGTGCCGTCCCATGTCAGTCGGAAATTCGGAAAACGGAATCTCGGAAAAGTAATAGAGTGAGGATCAACCAAACAAAATTATTTGAAGAAATAGCGATTTATTTAACTTGAAGACTATAGGTATGTAAGTTATGCTCTTCAACGTTTATTGCAATATTTTAGTTAAATACAAAAGATTATCGGAATTGAATTTGTATGTGTATAAGAAGAATGTCATTATTAATAAATAATTGTTTGATAAGTATTCATAAATATTCAATTTTCTATCATATAAATAGTTAAAAATTATCGGTCCGGAATTTTTGTGGCTGATTTTCCCATAGACTAATATTTCCGGAATTCGGCTAATATTTCTGAAATCGAAAAATTTATTTTTATCGTTTTATGATAACAAAATAATTACTATAGTAGAAGAATCCATAAAAAAGTAAAATTTGCATGTATTTTTCATTATAACAGAAGGTAATGAAGAAATGTTCTAAATTAAAAGACGATTCGAGATTAAAATAGCATTCCGTTTTCCGTAAAAGTCACTCCATGGGAAACGAGGCCACCACAAAGTCGGATTGGCAAAAGAATAATCATAGCAAGCAAATATATAATTAGTATTAAATATTAAATAAATAATTTTTAAATAAAATTATTTATAATAATAAAATTATT